TCTGAGGATGGAGCTTTTAGAGGTTCTGACTTGATAAGGAGACTTAACGCTCAGATCCCAGGCTTGACGTCCCGTCCACTAGGGAACTAACGAACATGCCTTAGGTTTTCAAGCTTGCCAGTAGTATGAGTGGGTGTGGGGGCTGCTCAGGACCATTTTGGTCTTAAACGTTTCCCTTTCTTTCCTGTAGTCTCAGCTATCTTTGTAAAAAGATGGCTTCAAATTTTATTCAGTGTTTTCAGGTGTTTAGTAGTTTAAGTGTTTTCTCATTACTTAGTCTTTTATCAGGAAACAGCAATTCTTTTCTATCTTTTCTATCTAACATGTGTGCTTACTCTGTCCATCCTGTACTGAATGATAATGGAAAACTGTTTATTAAGATTCTACTAAAATACATAACTGAAGAGTGGGCTGGTGGTGTATGTGTCAAGAGGTGAAGGATTGCATATATCCCAGGCTTTATTATTCATTCAGATAGAGCCTGATTTCAAAATTAATAATGATCCCCTTGGAAAAGTCTGCCTGTTATAAAATCCTGAAAGAGCTACAATAATCTACAGCAGCTATATGGACCCAGAGATAGCAGGAAATAAAAATATAATTATTGATAAGATAAATTTGGACAACTACAATCTAGTACCTTGAAAAGGAGCTTGGTTACACCACACATTTCTGATTATGTTTGGCATGACTTTTAATTGCAAATGAGCCTTTAAAAAGTCTTCACCCATTATTATTATTTACAACCTGCCTTCATTGCCTTAAATATTCATGAAAATTATTTTCCTATTGAAATATCAGTAGGACGTGGAGAAAAAAGTTGAAAAGTCACAAAAAGCTGTAATGTAACCTCTTGCCAAGAACTCACATGTTCATGAAAAAAAAAAAACTACCCTAGAGCAATATGTATATCAAGACATTAAACTTCAAAAGGCATTTCGTTTCTATACTTAAAATGTATAGAAAAAAGGCTGACTCCTTATAATAAATATTTCACTATGGTATTATTTCAATAGAAAGCAAAATAGTAACAGGCAATATTAATTGTGGATAACATTGAATTTCATACTGTATAGTGGACAAATTTTTTAAAAAATATAGTAGCCACAATATCTCAATAAATGAACTTAAATCTTTTTACTATTAAATCCTCAATAAGCTATGACCACAACCAACATTGCTAACTGCCTTTTAAAAAAGTGTTAATAATATTCCTCTTATTTTGTTCACTGCTTTTCTTCACCTTTACAGATGACATTTTTCAAACTATAAAATGCATTCTGCTGGCAAACCTTCTTGCTTCGATAGTTCTCAATTTTATAATAGTAAATCTACATCCTTTGCTACTGAGACATCCACTATCTTTCAGTATGTGACTTTGAATGAGGCAGAGAACAAGCTATACATTAAAAAAAGCAATATCTAACCTTATCAATATTCATTTTACTTTGTCAATACAAAATACAAAGGTGAAAGAGCAGTAAATAAGCTAAAGCACTGAAATAAATTTGGTGTTCCTGTCACAATTAATAAATGTTCAAATGATAACACTGCTGGTTAGTCTAGAGCTTTCTAAAGCGACTGAAATTATGCTTCAAAGCTATTGCTAAAAGAAGGTGAGAAAAATTTTCAATACACTAGCAGGTAAACGTAATCAATTCTGGGTTATTAATTTCATAGGGGGCTTTAAATCTTTTATTATTAAAAGTGTTATTTATTATGAATACAATTTGTCTTTAGTCATAAATTGTTCTACAAACCCGGTTTTGGATTTAAAGGGTCTAATTATAGTTTTCTGACAACTTCTTGGTAAATCCTTTCTATACTTGCTGTTTGATTGCATAATATTTCACATATAAATCAGAGGGGATTATCAAACAATACGCAAGCTGTCGGTCTGTTAACTCTTACTCCCTATTTCAAATAAAAGAGAGTTATCGTCTGCATTTTTCCTGTTTAGAGTTAATGCTGACTAAAGGCAAAAGACACTGAAAATATATCTCAATTCAATGTGTTTTTCAGGAGTTCTGCAAGGGCCTATAAAAGGGCAAGAATATTGTCCTTAGCTAAAATTCAGACGTTTACAAATATAACTGACTCTTTATTATGTGACTGACTCTTTTTCAGAATTTGAAAACTGTAATTTTCAGAGACAAGATGATCTAGGATTTACACCCTCATTATCAAAGTGTATTTATGCAAAAACATTTCTTACTTGAATTTGGATAATAATCTACACTGTAGAGTTGATTCATTAGCATTAAAAGATATTCTATTTAAAACTGAGGACTTTAAACTTAATCTCTTCCTCTTTGAGAGAAACAGTTATGCACAGATTTTAAAAATGGGTCGAAAATGAGTGATGCAATTCTCCTGCTCCACTACTTTTTGAGTAATTAAAATTTTCTAAGAATTTTATCTTCTAAGTTAAAATGTAGTAATATCAAAATCCTGACTATTAAGAGAATCATAACAATTCTGAAATATAAAATCTGGAATATGCTGGTATAAGCTTATAAAAAAAACTGTTTTAGGCTAAAGTTCAATGTTTGTACCCATACACCATATAAATGATTTCCTCTGATGTTACTGAGTTGTAATGTCAAAATCACCTTGCAGAAATAATTATATTATCCTCTCCTCAACCATTATGCATTTTCCTTCTCATTTCACATATGTTCAGAGTGTTAGGATGTGACCCCAGTATTGTCTTTTCCTTATTGCTGCCACTAAGGTGCTTTAGTAGCATTCCTAAGATTGTTCTTGTACTGTTTCTGCTGCTAATGCTTGAATCACTGAAAGATAAGAAAATTCAGGGACCATTCAACTGGAATGGGGATGTTAAAGAATCCTATGCCTGCCTTATGAAAGATCTGAATTGCAAGACTAATGACATGTGTTTCATCCAAAATGTGGCTACATGTTCATGTATGAAGAGATATATTATAAGTATTTCATGAATATTCTGCATTTCTACATATAATAGTTAGATAAATCTATAAAACTTAAGGCATACTATATGCCTTAAGTCAGCATATGCAATAGGACAATCTTTACATATAGGTAATATGTATATAAAGAATATATATATATATGCTAACGAAGAGGCTGTAAGTACATTTTTATGGAAAGAACATGGATTTAGGAGTTATGCAGACCTAGGCTTGAAACTTTCCCTTGCATTCAATAATTCTGTCATCTTAGGTAGCTAACCTAACACTTCTTTGCATCTTAATTTTACGATCTGTAAGGTGATGATAACACCATCTCCCTCATACAGTTGTTATAAAGATAAAATAATAAAGTTTCTGGTACACAGTGGGTACCCAATAAGTGGCAAATATGATTCTACACAAATACAAATGCACTCTACACACAGGTGTTTCCTAATCTTGAAAATTCAGTACTGCCAGAAGACGATCAGGTATGCATCTAAATGCATAATTTTAAATGTAGTCCTTTATACGGAACAACTGCATTAGAAGTGCTCCAATTTTAAGTTATTCTTCAATTTTCTAGTGCTTAACTATGGAACAGGTTCCCTAAGTAGAGAATGTGGCTGGACGCAGTGGCTCACGCCTGTAATCCCAGCACTTTGGGAGGCCGAAGCAGGCAGATCACCTGAGGTCAGGAGTTCGAGACCAGCTTGGCCAACATGGTGAAACCCCATCTCTACCAAAAATACGAAAATTAGCTGCGCGTGATGGCGGGTGCACGTAATCCCAGCCACTTGAGATGCTGAGGCAGGAGAATCGCTTGAACCCAAGAGGCGGAGGTTGCAGTGAGCCAAGATTGTACCACTGCATCCCAGCCTGGGCAACAAGAGTGAAACTCCATCTCACACACACACACACAAAAATAGAGTGTAAGCTTCACATCTTTTTTTCCTCTTAAACTCACCATGCAACCCCACCCTGCCAAAACCATGCATATACTTATATATATTTTTCTTTTCAGTGTTTACTCTCCTGTTGATATGAATCTTATTTTCATAGTCTATAATTAAAATCATTTTTCCTATAAAGGCTGCCCAAATGAAACTAAGAGAAAATTTATAAATCTGTGTGGTTATAGATCCCAGGCAATAGGGCCAAGGCTATTATTTTCTGTTTCTACACTGAAAAACGTTTTCTCATAGAGCTTGCTGCACCACAAATCCATCATGGTTAACTGTTGTTTATTTATATGTGGGTGCCCACATTTTAATGCCTACTTGGCTTCCTCCTATCACTGACTTTATCTGTGCCTCCCTTACCACTGCTCTTGCATGAGATTTTCAATACATACTATTTTATTCACAACCTTCACTATAAGGCGAGTCATTGCCCTTTCAGTAAGTAAGGCTTCCTGTCCTCTCTGACCTACAGTGACTTCCCTCTGATCAGCACTTGTAGTTTTCTCAAGACCACACTCATTATTAGAATGGTGTATTATTAGAATGACATGATTTTTGAGGTAGAAGTGAGAGCTTCCTCAGTCTAATGCTAATGTTGTCTAAAGAAGGAATGAGGAATCTAAGACTGTTACAGAGCTGGAACTAGAAACCAGACTGTCACAGTCGTTCAGTTAGGTTTCCATCTCCTACCACATGGGGTCTTGTGTTTTGGGGCTGCAGCTATACTTTTTGAATTTATTACTATTAATCTCTTCTGGGGTTATTTGTCATTTCATCTATTTATGCCTTATTTTCCAACAAGACTGTAAATTTATAGAGGCCAAAGATATAGCCTTTGAAGTTTTTGTATCCTTTTAATATCTTGCACGAAATCTTGCATTTGAGCAGGGGTGTAACATATACATTAATGACTGGTTACCTGGAAAATCTACAAATGGAACATGCAAAACATCCTGATACCACATGCAAATGATTTGTTTTAATAGCTTCTTGCAACTGTGCTTCTTCTTCTTCATTGCAAGTGATTAAGAACTGTCTACATTTTATTCTTCATGATTTATGAACTCTACATTTGTGTTCCACTTTAACCCTGCTTTTGTTTTACCTGCGGTAGTAGGTCCAGGCAAAGGTGCAGCTTTTCTTCTCCGTTTGATGTCTCCCGTGCATAAGGATCCTAAATGCATGCTTGTTTGCCTACGAGTAATTATCAGAAAAAACTATTAACAAAGAAGAAAAAAATGACACATAAATACACAGCTTGTATCATCTGAACCTAAATCGAAACATTCTCAACAAAGATGGAGCTGCATAGTAAAATCACCAATCTTGTTTATATCGAAACATAATTACGTTTGTTGACAAGCGTTCAGCAGCTAAATGCGCCATCATAAATTGTTACCGGAATGAATAATATAAAAGGAATGCTTTTTAATTTTCAAAACTGGCAATCTTTCTGGCTCAACATAAAATCAAGCACTGTTGCTTCTGACAGGAAAATGGCTAAGATTAATTATCTAAAGAGATCACAATATTGTTGCAAGGTTATCAATTGGTTACTAATGCTTTACTGTCAGAACAACATCTATTACAGGAAAAGTATGATCAATTTCTTTTAGGATATTATGCAGCAGTGAATTCTCTTAAAACATTTTAAATAGAAGGAAATAGTGATGCTTCCCTTATAATTCATATGATTAGAATTCTTCAGTTAATTATTTATTAGCTGAGTGAGAAAACATAATTTGAATGCATTAATGCTGGTCTACTGCTATTTAACCATCTAACATGATAGTGGATTATATTTCTAAAAACATGATACTTAAAAACTGAGAAGTGGATCTTCTGCTATTTTTGGAACAAGCTATTATACAATTAGTCTTCTGTCTAATCTTGGTCTCCTAAATTGAAAAGTTATATAAAAAAAATAAGAAATGGGCCAATTAGAAATCAAGACGAATACAAAAGAGAAAGGATTTAAAGTCTTCAAACTTTTCAAGCTATAGAAAGATTCTGTGTTCATTTCCTGTGTCATAATCCTTGATGTAGGGTTGGGATAGGGCCTGGGGAACATGAAGCAGAAATAAATGAAGCATGTTTATGACAGCACATGTTCTCTTAGTAAGACAGAGAGATATCTGACAGTATCCTGAGGTTTTAAAGAAACTAATTTGAAAATAAACAGATTATTAGGGAAAAAGAAGGAAAAATTAAAATTAATTCAGGTAAAATTCAAAACTCAAGATATATATTTAAACACATATACTCAGACGTTTAAATATAATGAAAAATTAGTGCTGGAGAGTCCAGTTATTTCAAATATAGATTTTATTTATAAAACACAAAGTACAGTCATAATTAATGATCTGAGTAATCCAAGGGCCATAGGCAGCCAAAAAAATATACCACAAAACCTTATCAATGTATCTTAACAGGAAATGAGCATTTGTCTGTTGTCTTTTACCTTTTTATTGAGTGCATACTGTTTCTGTTACAAAATAATTACAATTATTAAAATATTTCAAAAAACCTTTCAAAAATTCATTCTGTTAATGACTAAATTAGCTCTGCTTTGCTCTCCAAATGTTCATTGACATGAATGACTATAACATTTTTATTGGATTTTGAGGTATGGTCTTGGCTCATGATGCCAAGAAAAATGAATAGTTATGACAGTGTCTCCTTTTTAAGATTATATATACATTTTTAAAAAGTAGAATGATGTCACAGGGAAGACATATTCTTTTTGTACAAATTTAAAGTTATTCCTTTACTTATTCAGCAAACATTTATCAGTATCTATTATGGACTTAGCATAAGACTCCAGTGGTGGTGAAAATAGGGAGAGGGGAAAAGAGAAGATGGAAGATACAAAGGAAATGAAACTTTCAACTCTTATTATTGGAAGAATTTAAAGTCTGAGTGGAGAAATAAAACATAAATCTGTGTATATGAAATAATTAGGTACAGTGGTAGTGGCAGCAGGCATAACTAACTTTATTAGCGACTAGGAAAGGCTATATTATTTAGTCCTTACAACAATCCTAAATATGCTGCATCAAATACACATTTTTTCCTTGGTAGGATAAAATTTGTGCTTCCACAGAAAAACTATGCTTTCAGGAGTATACCGTTTCAGTCACTGAATGCTAATTCTATGCAAGCTATTTTACAACTCTACCTTGTAGCTAACCGAAAGCAACGGGAAATACTTCTCAACTACAGAAACAGAAATAAATTCTGTTCTATGGAACGACAACCCTGCTACCTGTGGAAAAGCTAGTTTTGGGTCCATTTAAACAATCATTTCAATAGTCCGTTACTCTATGTACACTTGAGCTTCTTTGACTTCTCCTTTCAACCGGTTATAACATCTGCCCAGTTCCCTCATTAGCTAATGAGTTAAATAAAATCTTTAACACATACCCACTTAATATCCGTATGACAGTCATAATATTACCTTTTTGTAAAAAAGTATCCTTTCACATATCTTATCCCTATTGAAATCTCCCCTTAGCAAAAGACTGCAGTAAAGTTTACCTCCTGCAGAGCATATACCAGATAGACTCAGATATCAGAAATAGCTGAAGAGGAGGGGAAAGTACCATTCTGAAAACAGGGAATAAAGTGGGAATCTGAATTCTGCAGTGTGGGTCTTCTGTCATCAAGCTGTGAAAACCAACTCATGAACTAGCTACTTCTCATCCTGTGTTAAAACATAATAAACATTCTTACAGTTTAAGCCACTGCAGGTCAGGTTTTCTGTACTTGCTGCTGAACGAATTCCTGAGTGATAAAGAGTTTGCTCTGTTCAGGGAGTTATGAGTAGTTCAGGATGTCTGCACAGGAGTGTTTGCAGAAGGGACTGTATAACATGAATGGAGAAGAGCACTGGGGCTGGATCATGGGGCCATACATGCCACCTTTGCCCCATGAAGGTGTTTGGACTTAACAGCAATGTGGAGTCACTAAAGATTTTATAAAAGGAGAGAAAGTAGACCAAGTGCATGGGTGCTGGTAGAGAGCTCGAGTTGGACAGGGTTGAGATTGAAGAGAGAGGAGACCAACTAGGTTTGCCATAGTTCAGACACACACTTCCTCATCTCAGTTATAATAACTAAAGAATGATGCAAGTTACTGCACAATGAAACTTCCTGGATGTACAAATATTAAATATCAATAAAAATTTAAAAAGAACTAAGGCTGGTTTTATTGATTTCAGATATTTTTAAAGCTCAAACTAAGCTAAAACAGTTATTAGCCAGGACACGTTTCTTAAGAAACACATTTTTAGAAATAATCAGAAGAAATACTTGAGCGTCTGATATCAGACACTCACTGTGACTATTAATACCATTGGTTTCTACTTACTTTGTTCTTGCACTAGTTACATATAATTGGAGTATTCTAATTGCTTGAAAATAACTCTCTCAAGTCAATATTGCCTTTATAATTATTTTTTCATACTTCTTACAATTTATTAGGTAGGCCTATTTACAAAGACAGTGAAAAACAAACTTCAGGAACAACCAACTCCCTCTTCTAAACCTTTTTTTTTTCCATCTGCTGGACCAAACATTTTGGGTATCTTCACAGAGCAAATGAAATATAACATTTTCATTCAACTCCCTTCCCCCACCCCCAACATAGCTGCATAAAGGAAAGGAGAAAAATGTTCAAGGAGAATAAAGTTAATAAACTCAGCAGCACTGAACCTGAAGACCTGAGCCATAAGAAAAACAGCTAGCTGTATATTTCAGTAATTCTATCAAGAATTGACTATCTACTACAGTGCATTGAGAGATCTGGATTATTGATCAGTAAGATTACCCCACTTAGGCTTGCCCCACACCCCCCTTCTTTCAGACAGGTGCAGTGGAGTTGCTACAAATGACACTAAGTAAGGTTTACTCTGTTATTTAGTTGTCACTCTTAATGTAAACCATAACAGTTATTTTTTAATTTAAAATCAATGAATGTCTCAAAGGCAGCCTTGTTTCTTCAGTCTAAATGAGTCATTTGTCTTTGCAAAGCAGAACATTTGGAATACTACTCAAGGTGATGGTTGGCATTTTCTGTTTCTTTATTCTGTGGTGTTTTGAGAATGACAATGCAACGTCCTAGGAACAGACCCAAAGTTATTAAAGAACAATATTAAGATCCTTTTGTAAGGTGTGTCAGAAAAACACCAATCAACTAGATGAGTGTATTTGTTTTAGCTGGGATATTTGCATGAGGAGGAAAAAAAAGGAGACAAATCAAAACCAACCTATCCTGAAGCGGAAAGGATGAAGAAATGATGCTTTTCACTTACGATTTGAAACATGGTTTCCCATGTATTACTTCTGAAAATTTTCCTATTAAATATTAGAAAAGCAGAACTCAAAAATAAGTTATTTTGTTTTATTTTGCTTTTTAAACAGACTTCACTTGGCTTCTCCCCATCGTTTGCTGCAAGCTATCTTTTAAATGGGGTGGAGGCAGGAAGCTGGACATCTTATCTGGAGGCAAAAACGTAGAAACAAAACAAAACAAAACAACAACCCAATAAACTCAAAACAAAAAACAGAAACAAAAACTCTACTGAGAACCACCATGTCTGAAAACTTGGCTTTTGACATGCACTGACAAGGACTGAAGCAGGCAGTGTCAAACGCAATAATATTAAAGAGAAGACAATAGGAACTTGTCTCTTCATTGTATGCAATTACAAACAGAGGCTTTTCAGAGAATTAGGCCTAGTTAAAGCTGCCTCCTGGATAAAATGTGTTCCCAAGCAGCCTTGGACAAGCTGCAGAAGAGAGACAAACAGACGTGACTATGGGCCCTGGCACTTGGCAAGAACACTCACTGTCAGTTAGAAAAATATCAGCCTGGACAGGGCATCAGCTGCACAGAAATAAAGCAGGTCTGTGGTGTCACTGGAGGAGCATTCCAATGGCAGAGAGAAGGATGGGGGTTGGGAAACCCAGCCCCTTGTGAACTTCCTTTTCTAGATCCAAATTACCCTCCCCGCTTTATTTGGTGTCAATATGTCTCAACATATTAAACTGAACAGACAGACATCAGTATCTAGCTTTTTTTCCTCTAGTACCCAAATGCACAATACAATACGTATCAAGCACTTTCAGGTATAAATGTTTTTTAACGATTAGGAGGATTGAATTAAATCCTTGTTTTTCTGGCCGGGCGCGGTG